AAAAAACTTAGTGCAACTCACTGGGCCTTGGTTTCCACATTGGTAAATTTAGGAGAGCGATACCAACTGCGCAGATATGATGAGGATTACCTAAGTGAATACATATGAAAAATACTTTGCAAGCTATTGAATACTTTATAAATGTTAGTCATAATTATTATCCTTAACCTTCTTTTTTTTTTCTTTTTTTGAGACAGAGTCTCACTGTGTCACTCTCGGTAGAGTGCCATGGCCTCATAGCTCACAGCAACCTCAAACTCTTGGGCTCAAATGATTCTCTTGCCTCAGCCTCCCAAGTAGCTGGGACTGCAGGTGCCTGCCACAGTGCCTGGCTATTTTTAGAGACAAGGACTCGCTCTTGCTCAACCTGTAAGCTCAAGCAATCCACCCACCTCAGCCTCCCAGCATGCTGGGATTACAGGCATGAGCCACTGCACCTGGCCTATGCTTCACCCTCTATCTGGATGTGCTGTCACAAAGAATAAGAAATGATTCATAAATGTGCATAAACAAATAAATGTTCATAAATGATCTCTTCTTTAGTTGGACAAAATACAGGGTGGCCATAAAATTGGAACTAGAGTGTCATATAAATAGATGAATTAAGTTTTACAGAAAGCCTTCATATTTAGGGACTTAAAGAATGCCATAGGAGTCTATGAGTACCACACTAGAAAAAAATTTTTTGCCCCTGGGGCCATGGTATTTCAATAGATCAAGATAGATCAGAAGACATGTGAGTCATATGTGCTTCCTGAGGCCCCAGGCTCAAAGCGAACATAAGTTAAATAGGCAATTAGCATGTTACTATCTGTGGCTGAATCATTCTCTAAATGGATTAAGACTGCTGTTCTGTCTGTAAACACTTGGTACTGCTGGTATGTTATGGGTGGTGTGTGTGTGTTTCCTGGAATCAGGAGACCTCATAACTCTTCCTCCCCTTCTCCCTCTGGAAATTGAATTTTTTTTTTTGAAATTAGATTTTTATATAATAAAAATGTGCCTTCAAGAAGAAAGGAAATTTCATATAAAATAGATGGATCAAGCTAAGTAAACAAAAGGAACAAATGCAGAGATGAATTACCATGGAGAAGAGGAAGAATGTCATGCGGATTAAGTTCTTTACCTGTGAATGTTTGACTGAAACATACAAATCTTCTGTTTGTGTTTCTGCAGGTGAAGAGGTCCGGAACCCCCAGAGAGCTATCCCCATTGGAATCGTGACTTCCTTGCTTGTTTGCTTCATGGCCTATTTTGGGGTCTCTGCGGCTTTGACACTTATGATGCCCTACTACCTCCTAGATGAAAAAAGCCCCCTGCCTGTGGCATTTGAATATGTCGGGTGGGGTCCTGCCAAATACGTAGTTGCTGCAGGCTCCCTCTGCGCCTTGTCCACGAGGTACTTTGTGCTGCCTTTGGGGCAAGGTGGTTGGGTCCTATGAGATATAGTCAGGGTCTAGAAAAAGTGTTCTGCTACGCCTTACAAATATCCTGACATCAGGAGCATGTTATGCCACTAAGTATTCCCTGAATTTGCTCAATTTGCTCAGAATTGCCATATGTACCGAATTTGATAAAAAAGAGAAAATAGAATAGCCATAAAAGAGTCTTAAGTGTTTATAGAAACTATCTCCTCCACATCAGTTAAGAGTCAGATTTTCAAGGTGTTACAGTGCCAGGGACATCCTGAGACTGTGTGTGCAGCGCTCACATTTTCTGCTCTCTCTGCACTTGACTCTGAGTTTGTGGAGTGGAAGCTGTGTGAGATGCTGAGACTTTTTCCTCTTAGCCCCAATCAAAGCGAACTTGGTCTAGAAATAGATATTATTCTTGACAGTGGAAATTCATGTATAATCTACATGAGAGGTGAAAGGTATTTGAATCTCAAAGTGTTGAGGTTTCTGGTAGCTGCTTGTTTTAATACAAGTTATAGCTCATTTCTCAGGTTTCCTGAGCTACTTGCTTCAAATTAACATAGGATCAGAAGTAAGACATTTCATTCCAGTGCTGTGCTGTGCCATAGGATAGAATATTCTTGCAAAGGGAAAATTAATCTATCTGCTTGGTCACTCATTTGTTAAAGGGAAAATAATTTTCTAGAAGTCTGAAATTAAAAAAAGAAATCTTTTGATACAATTTATTGACCTTTTTTTCTCTCAAAATTCCTTTTTTTTCAAGATATTATTAAGTAGCAGTTAGACCTTTAATGGGAATACCTTCAAATAATTTCCAAAGTCTGAACTGTGAAGACACCGCACCACCATGGCCTTGAGAGAGATTCATCTGTGGTCATGCTCAACTCAGCCTTATGAAAGAACAAAGGAAATGAGTTGGGTTTTGTTTTTTTTTTTTTGAGACAGAGTCTCACTATGTTGCCATTGGTAGAGTGCTGTGGGCATCATAGCTCACAGCATTCTCATATTCTTAGGCTTAAGCGATTCTCTTGCCTCAGCCTCCCAAGTAGCAGAAAATGGATTTTTAGAGAAAATGTTGTAGTAGTTTTCTCTTAAATCATTATTTTTCACAACTAAGTAATATATGGAATGGTAGCAGCCAGTAAGCCCAAGTAATTAAAAACATTGTAAGCAAAAACTATCTTACTAAACTTCACTGCCACTTTCGATTTATACTTCTGTGTCTTAAATTTACTATAAGTTAATCTTTTTTGCCTTTCTCTCCTTGATTAATATCATCCCAGTAATTGTTACCCATCTGATCAAAGATCAGGCTATATGAGAAAAAATATTGGTATTGGTACAGCAAATATAAAAAGCACGTAATTATTGAATAAAAAAGATCATCACTACTATGAAGTAAAATTACTTAATCTTATTTAATTATTTATCAATTTAGGAATCTCATTTTCTGAATTATTGCCATTAAAAATATCTTAATGAGATTGGTTTGCTTGGGTTTTTTATTTTTTTTTGTAAATTTTTAATTACTCAATTTTAATTCAGTACTGACTGTGGACACGCACAGATGACTTGCAGTCATGTTTTTATATCTCTGCAACAGAATCATGACTATCACAATGGTCTATTTAGCCAATATTTTAAAATGCCTGCTGATAGTACATTTAAAGAACAATAAGATTTCATCATCACAACTGTTGTGCTGAATTCTATGTAATCACTTTATTTCAGTTCTAGGATGTAATCGTGCATGAATGTCTTTGCCATACTGCATGTGTTTGCTTTTTATCCAGTCTCCTTGGATCCATTTTCCCAATGCCCCGTGTAATCTATGCTATGGCGGAGGATGGGTTGCTTTTCAAATGTCTAGCTCAAATCAATTCCAAAACGAAGACACCAATAATCGCTACTTTATCATCAGGTGCAGTGGCAGGTGAGAGAGAGTTGACTTTTATTAAGAAAAGGGGGATCTGTGTCATCGAGGATTATGGAAAAAACAGAAAGCTAGGCAGTTCTCTATTTTCATTGACATGAAGTACGGTAACGTTTTTGTGAAATGTTTCCTATTTTGAATTTGGTGGTTCTGCACTTCAGTGAGTCCCAGTCTTCACTTGTGTTTACCTTTCTAGAATAATACTTAAAAGAACTCACATGTGGATTATGAATTTTTCTGTTCTAGTCTTCTGGGCTCTATGTTTCCTTTACCTCGAATTCTGTTTGCCATGGCCCGGGATGGCTTACTGTTTAGATTTCTTGCCAGAGTGAGTAAGAGGCAGTCCCCAGTCGCTGCCACGATGACTGCAGGGGTCATTTCTGGTAAGCTTTATAAGCACAGGTTCCTTCAGCGTTGGACTGGGACATTTTATTTGCATGCATTGACGGATAAAGAGGGTCTGCATGCTGTGCATGTAAGTTAAAAAGAATCACTGATGAATTATTATGTGTGCCTTGGGATTAACATCTGGCAATTGTGGTGGTGGCGGCATCCTCAAGTTCTACTCTTAATTGACCATTTGGGGATTTTTTTACTGTTTTGTCATTTTAACCTTTTGAGCTTCTAACAGATGTGCAAAGCGTTATCATAGTTCTTCACTAAATATCATGGATTGCTTTTCCAATGAACTAGCACATCAAATTCTGTTATTGAGGAACAAAATTGTAATTAAAGAATTGCTTATTTAATTTTTGAAATGTTAATTTTAACGTAATGGTTCAATGTTTTCTTTTTTTGTCCGGGGCATAAATTGAATACTGCTAAAGCACTATATGGTTTTTGAAAAGCTAATGTTTACCTATTCTTAATTAAGTATAAGAAACGTTAAAGATAATTTACAGCTGGCCCTTTTAATCAGTGCCCTCAGTCTGGCCAGCATCCCTCCTTCTTGGGCCATCATGGTGCTTGAAGAGTTACTGGCAGCTAGATCTGAATCCCATTAGGAATCTATTTTTCCTTTCAACAGTTCTGGAACTTCAGATATGTCCAGAAGAAAGTCTGGATTGCCAACCATTTGGCATGTCATAATATCCACATAAAATGCCTCTGGGCCAGATTCTGATTCCATGCAGAAATTTTCAGAGATTCTGTAGAGCAAGAGTGTTGCCTTACAGATACTATTAGAAGAAGCCAAAGAAAGATTGAGCAAGCCTCCTAGGTAAAATGAGAAATAACCTTGACGTAGAAATTCAAGCCAAAATGATAATTTTGTTGAGGCTATGAATTATTGGGAAGTTAGGTTAGAGAAAGCTAATGTTTCATTATGTATAAAACAGAATTTTTTTCAGGTCAGAAAGTATTTATCTACGCAGTTTCACTTTGTTAATATTTTCTAATAAACCCAGCACTTTATTAGACAGAGGTTGGGAGGTCAAATCACTTATTTTCTCATACTTAGTTTCTGCCCCCTTAAAATGAAGATTTCCCTAGATCCCCTCAAGACCATTTTATTATTAAACAGTACATCATGATATTAAAGCTACTATAGTTTGTAAATGTTTCTTGCCAAAGGACCGCCTTATCTTGTTTAATCTATAAAAATATATTTTTTTCTAGTGAAAACTTGCCTCATAATACTCTGTATTCAGAATTTTGGAAAATTTATCCTTCTCCTTTGTTCAGGAAGAATTTAACTTGGCAGTATAATAAGATATTAAAATTAATAATTATAATAGACCACTTTTTTTTAAATGCTGTAAATTTTTTTTTTTTTGGTGGGGGCTGGGTTTGAACCCACCACCTCTGGCATATAGGGCTGGCACGCTGCTCCTTTGAGCCACAGGTGCCTCCCTATAAAAACATTTTTTTTTTTGGTAGTTTTGAACTCTTCTACTTCAACTTTGCTTATGTTTAACTTCAGTCAGAGAATGTCCATGAGTAATTCATTATTTTCTCGTCTCTTGGCTAACTTATTTAACTCTCCGAGGTTCTTACAAAACTTACTGAAATTTTAATAGTCTAACGCATAAGTATACTAGCGGTGAAGCGTTTTCAAAGTAAAGCATACAGTGTATTGAAAGAAACAAGGTGATACTGTAAAAGTTATAGAAGGCCTCTGCGGATGTTGGTTGAGGTAGATCTCTGGCCCTAGCTAATAGTTTTACCCTGTCTATAAGACGGGAATAATCCACTTAGGTTAGACTATGTGAAATTGCTGGGGAATTTGGTCCAAAAGAGTCAAGTACCAGCTATTTTCTGTGGCTGAAACTAATAACTCCCTGTCTCATAGCATCATGGCCTAAGATAAAATGAGATCATAGGGACCCAAAGCTTGTATGGAGATCTGGACCAGTACCACAGGAATGGAACGTGGTGTCTACTTAGGGCTAGGGTTAAATTTCGATGGGGAACACGATGTGGTAAAGTCAGGGTAATATTATGGCTAATTTGATGTTTCAAGGGAGAGAACAATAGCTAGATACAATTAAACTGTTCAACTATTTAAAGTCTAATTTGCTTCTTAACATGATTTTGATTTGGGGTGCAGGACCACAAGTCCATCTCTCAGATGTGGTCACGGTCTACCCGGAATGGGTGTATAAACAAAAATTATTTTATTATCCTTTTTCAAAATTAAGATAGTTCTGAGCTGTATATGATACAATTCATAATACATACGGAAATTTAAATGATTATATAACATCCCCCACAGAAGCTCTTTCTGTTGGAATGTTCTTAGCTAGCCCATGTTTCCTGGCAGTGTTTTTTTTCTGAAACAAAAAAGAATATTCTGTTACATAATATTTTCACTCGTTGACAGGCCAAATATTTTTTAAATAATCAAGTAGAATGTGCTTTGTACTAGAAAACTGAAGTTTTTTTAAAGTCTCACTAGCAGTTTGCATGACCCAAAAAACATCTTGCTGTGAGTCAGATGTTGTTCTATACTTGGCTTAACTTAGCCTTGGTACTAAAACCAGGTGTCTGTCCGTTGTCGACTTGAAAGCTATAACTATGTGCAGTTTCATCCTGGGCCATTCACTTGACCCTTCTTTCCTTTTCCCAATAGCTGTGATGGCATTTCTGTTTGACCTGAAGGCGCTAGTGGACATGATGTCCATTGGCACTCTGATGGCCTACTCCCTGGTGGCAGCCTGTGTTCTCATCCTCAGGTGAGTTGCCAGGTGGTTCTGCAGGAGGAAGGAAGGAAATGAGTGCTCACCCCTCTTGCTCTCAAGGAGCTGACAGTCTCACTGGGGTGAGAGGTCAGATCCATAAAAACGTCCACAGGAAGTGGAAGAAGCACGCTTGCTTCTTAGCAAGGAATCAAATAACAGTTTGATCATCAGTGACAAGTTGGCCTAGTCCTGTGACAGGTGGCAATTTCTCATATTGCATAAAGACACTTAAAAATTCCCGCCAAAACAACAATGACGGCTGCGACCAAAAAAATAGCCAGGCGTTGTGGCAGGCGCCTGTGGTCTCAGCTCCTTGGGAGGCTGAGGCAGGAGACTCGCTTGAGCCCAGGAGTTGGAGGTTGCTGTGAGCTGTGATGCCATGGCACTCTACCCGAGCTTGAGGCTCGGTCTCAAAAAAAAAGAAAAAAATTCCCTTTTTGTCCCAGTAATTCACTTGCAAGATTTTATGCTGAAGATTTAATCAGAGGCACACATAGATGTATGTGAAGGATATTTATAGAAAAGGTAATTTCCGGCTCAGCACCCTCACAGTGGTTACGGTGCCAAGGCTGGTGGGTTCCAACCTGGCCCAAGCCTGCTAAACAACAATGACAACTGACAAAAAATAGCCGGACATTGTGGCAGGTGCCTGTAGTCCCAGCTACTTGGGAGGCTGAGGCAAGAGATTCGCGTAAGCCCAAGAGTTTGATGTTGCTGCGAGCTGTGACACCACAGTACTCTACCAAGGGCAACATAGTGAGACTCTGCCTCAAAAAAAAAAAAAAAAAGGTAATTTACAATAGTGAAAAAAAGGAAACTAACCTGAGTATCAATAGGAAGGTGGTTGGATTAATGGAGGATCCGTGTATTCCTGGAGTCTTGTACAGCAAACAAACTACCTATATGGAGAAAAATAGATGAGTTTCAGAATACAAATCTACAGTACATAGAGCATCTAAAGTTATTTAAATGATTTATAGACTTGCATGAGGAAATCACACATCATTTTTTTATGTGAAGAAAAAATGTTACTTTCAAAAGTAAGCAAAGGCTGTTCAGAGGGGAAAAGGGCCACTCAGGGGAGCCAGGGGAGGAAGGAGAACAGGAGGGGAAGTTGGCTGTTTTCTTGACATGAGCTACAGAGGAAGAAAAGAAAATAGAAAATGTCAAGCATGGGGTGGGGAGGTGGCAGAGTGGCCGAGTGAATCTGTCCGTGTTAGACTAGGGGAGTCAAGAGGGGGCATTGAAGGGGATGAGGCCAGAGAGCCGAGTACTGCGGAGGCCTTGGGTGCAGAACTGAAGACTGCGGTGTTGTGCAGCCGAGTGGGGACTAGGCTCACTGCGCTGTTTTCATCAGCTGCGTTTTCCATGGACATAGGTCATTTCAGTGCCCGCATCCCGTGGTTGAAATTGCCTCACTTTAAAGTGTCACTTTCTTTTGCATCTGCTATATAACTAACTTGCAAACTGAGTAGCTGTAGCTACTTTGCAGAGAAGGTCAGGGACCTGACTGACGCTCTCAGGGGCTGGCACCCTGAGATGTACTTACTTACTGCTCCCCGTGGGACTCTGTCTGGTGTCCTGTTGAGGGTTTTAGGTTCTCCTTTCCTTTGGGCCAAGTGTCTGTTTGAGATTAAAAACATGGATATTTATTTATGGCTAGGTACCAGCCCAGCTTATCTTACAAGCAGCCCAAATATTCCCCTGAGAAGAAAGGCCTGGAAGAGTGTCCCAGCACTGCTTCGAAAAGCGACTCCCAGGTCACCATGCTGGAAGGGCAGAGGTCTGTCCTGCAAACCCTCGTCAGCCCCTCCCTTCTGCCGACACAGCAGTCATCTTCTCTCGTGAGCTTTCTGGTAGGACTCCTGGGTAAGTGCACCCCCCTGCACACCTTGTAACCACCCAGACATGAGCTGGCGGAGCTGGCATGGTGGGAGAGGGGGTCAGGGAGCCTCGTGTGGCCCTAGAGTGTGTAGCAACCAGCCCGATCCTGAAAGTTCCACCTGAAGAGTCACCAGCAGATGAGATCATCTTTATATTAGCAGCATAAATTGATCCATATCATATCTTGATAATTGAAGAAGAGAGGAAGAAATTCCCTGAGGCGAGAGCAGCAGGGGTGCCAGCTGGCAGGTCTCTGTAGCGGTCAGGGTGCTCTCTGTGGGTGCTTCAGGCCAGTACTCCTCCCGTAAGTGAAAAGGAACCCGACGGGATTGGGAGGCCATGGAGAAGTCCTTGTCTGCTCACCCACAGTTTCATCATCACTCTTGTTGTCAGCAGCATTTATTAAGCATCATCTGTGTGCCAGGCACCTTGCTGGGCAGTTGGAATGCTGAGAGAGCCCAGTTCTTGCTCTCACTGGGATTATAGGACAGGATTGTTGGTGACAAGCCAGGGAAGTACAGGTTTCTCCCAGAGCAAATAGGAGGGGCCCCTCATGGACATGATGGCCAGAGACAGGCTGAGGGGGAGGGGATGTCATTTCTCTGAAATGGGGAGAAAAGCTTCGGAGCATGCAACCTAGGTGACAGTATGTTTAAAACAACCAAAAATAGACAGATGTGCTGCTTCCCGTGTGCAGAAAAGGGAAGAAGCATCCTCTCCATCGTGTGATACGTCTGAGGACAGGTGGTGCACAGGCAGCACAGGCAGCAGAGCAGGACAGTGTCACAAGGAGAGAGTGAGAAGTAAACAGGCAGTTTCCTACATTGCTGAATCAGCCAGTTCATGGGGGAATTTCTTCTGTAGCAAATAAGGAGAAAGGTCATAGTGGGCAGTGCCTGTGGCTCAAACCAGTAGGGCACTGGCCCCATATGCCACAGGTGGCAGGTTCAAACCCAGCCCCAGCCAAAAACTAAAAAAAAAAAAAAAAAAAGAAGGTCATGGTGAAGAGTCTTTGCATTTGGCAAAGTAGATACATAAAGAACTCACTGTTTTCCCCAAGTGCGAGTGTGTGAGCTGAGCCGTCCACTGGACTTGTGCACCTGCTGATGTTGTTTTATTCGCTCGCCGCCTTCACAGCCTCTGTCATCCTGGGCCTGAGCATCCTGACCACTTATGGAGTTGGCGCCATCGCCCGGCTGGAAGCCTGGAGCCTCGCTCTTCTCGTGCTGCTCCTGGTCCTCTGTGTCGTCATCGTGCTCACCATCTGGAGGCAGCCCCAGAATCAGCAGAAAGTGGCCTTTATGGTGTGTGCAGTGAGGATGAGGGAGCTGGAGGATGCTGTTCACTTTCCTTGTATTTTAGTTGTGTGGGTTATTTCCAAAAGAAAAAATCATCTGACACGTTAACCAGTGAGTGAGGGTGTCAGGACTCTTCGGCAAGTTCCTTTTCATCAGGTCTTCTCCCTACATCGGGCATCTTACTGCATTTTCAAAAACTTGGGTGTGGGCTCGGCACCTGTGGCTCAAGCAGCGAAGGTGCCAGCCACATACCCCTGAGCTGGCAGATTCAAATCCAGCCCAGCCTGCCAAACAATGACGGCTTCAACCAAAAAATAGCCAGCTGTTGTGGCGGGCTCCTCTGGTCCCAGCTACTTGGGAGGCAGAGACAGGAGAATCGCTTGAGCCCAGGAGTTGGAGGTTGCTGTGAGCTGTGATGCCATGGCACTCTACCCAGGGGGACAGCTTGAAGCTCTATCTCAAAAACAAAAACAAAAAACTTGAGTGTGCTCCTATTACATACTATTACATATAATAATAGACAAATCTCTTGTTAAATAATCTGTTATAAGAGCAAAACAGTAAAATATACACGTTTTATTTTTAGAAATCCAGTATCCTCTTACAAGGACTTAGTCTCACCAAAAGTCTTTCCTCTGCAAGTTAAAATTATCCTGTCCCTTGTGAACCAAGAGCAGGTTTTGGCTAGAAGGGGGCTTCCTGGGATACTTGTGTATCCAGGCTTACAGAAGCATGCCGCGTTGCTGTCTGAACTAAACCGTAAACCCCCAAAGGAAACGAAACTCTAATACCAATACTATCTCGATAATGATGCAGGTATTAGCAGCTTTAATAAATCTCCTATTGCCTTAAGCTTCAGTAAATTAAATGCAATTCTCCTTTTCGAAATCTCTAGAAGCAGGGTTTTTATTCAGGTTGTCCTTTTTGTAGGACCATACAGTTACTGACAAAATGTGAGAGTGTGAATGTCAGGTTAATTACCACCAGGCTGACGTAGTCTGGGGAATATGCTCTCAAAACGTGAATATATCCGAAGGACTGTTTCCACCCTAGGTTCCCTTCCTGCCGTTTTTGCCAGCGTTCAGCATCCTGGTGAACATCTACCTGATGGTCCAGTTGAGTGTGGACACTTGGATCAGATTTAGCATTTGGATGGCACTTGGTAGGTCTTTTAATATTTCAGCTTTCTGGACTTTGCCCTCCCCACCCCCCATTTTAAATGCTGTGATAAGAGAAATCCAATTTCTCCCTCGTCCTTGCAATAAAGGCTTTTTCCGGTTTCTTCCTTTCCCAATTCCTAGAATATCTGATTGCTGCCTTGACACATGTTTTCAGATAACTTTTAGAATTCAAATCTCCTAAGAATCCTGTAAAACCATGTAGATTCTGTTTTCTCCGATTTATAGGCGAGAAAAATAAAGCCCAGAAAAAGACATTTCCTATCAACCCAAAACTCAGCCAGTTTTCTAAAATAAAAGCTAAAACACACAGGAGGCCTAGATGACACTAAAACATTGTCTCCCGATCTGTACACAGTCAGGATGTCTTGTTGACTTGCTTTTAACTCCATTCTTTGGCCTCTCCCCATGGCAGTGACACATGTGAGGCATGTCCCTGTCCCCTTTGTCAGCTCAGGGCATGCTTTCCAAACTGTCTGACCGTTTTCTCTGACACTCCACCACTTTTATTCAGGATGTGATTTGAGGCTTTCTCCCATTTATCATTTTTTTATAGTATTGAGTTTTGAGAACATAAAATGTAAACACTGTCTCGTTGACACATTCCATAAAGTTTGGATTATAAAAACGAAGAGGGCCCTTCTGCCAGGAAAACATTTATCAAGGAGGCCTTGTGTAGAGTATTTGTGTTTGCATTTTACTCTTCTGAAATAGCACAGGCAGAGAAAGTGAGTAAAGCCATTAAGTTCTACATGTGTTTGAAAATTCCCACATTAGGCTCGGTGCCCGTAGCACAGTGGTTATGGTGCCAGCCACATACACCGAGGCTGGTGGGTTTGAAACCAGCCTGGACCTGCTAAACAACAATGACAACTGCAGAAACAACAAAAAATAACCCGGGGGTGGTGCCTGTGGCTCAAAGGAGTAAGGCACCAGCCCCATATGCTGGAGGTGGCCAGCTCAAACCCAGCCCCGGCCAAAAACTGCAAAATAAAAATAAAAAAAATAACCTGGTGTTGTATCAGGCACCTGTAGTCCCAGCTACTTGGGAGGCTGAGGCAAGAGAATCACTTAAGCTTAAGAGTTTGAGGTTGCTGTGAGCTGTGATGCCACGGCACTCTACCGAGGGCGACAAAATAAGACTCTGTCTCAAAAAAAAAAAAATTCCCTCATTAAAACCATCATGTCCTGACACCCCTGGTGACATTGATCTTTTTTTCCCCTCCCCCAAAAGGTTTCCTGATTTACTTTGCTTACGGCATCAGACACAGCCTGGAGGGCAATCCAAGAGGTGAAGATGACGATGAACAAGCCTGTTCAGACAACACGAACGCGGCCTCGGAAGAAAAATCTGCCATTCAAGCAAATGACCAGCCCCATCCCCAGAGAAATCTCAGTCTGCCTTTCATATTCCACGAAAAGACAAGTGAATGCTAACACTTGCCGGAGCAGAGCTGGTCGCAGGTTTAACATACATATCCTACCCTGAGTAAACCATGAAGGATGTCGTTACCATGCCCGGTTGTCGCGGGTGCTAATACACAGTTCACCCTCATCTACACTCCCCAGATGGGGAGTCACGTGCCAGAAAACCCGAGCTCTTTCCTCAGTGACGCGCATCCCCCAACTGTGGCAGTGTGAGTGGGTGTGTGTGTGTGTGTGTGTGTTTGGGAACATAAATGTTAAAAGTTAGTTGGCATTTTACTATGACTATGTTACATTTTTTTCAGTGTTGTCATTAATCGGTGGCACATACTGCACAGACTGAAATAGAGGGAAAACACTGACTAGAGAAGTTTTGTTTGTTGCCTTGTCTGTAGTGGGGGAATAATGATGGCTTTTCCATATCAGGCTTCATCAGTGTCAAGTTAGAACAGGCTACAAATGCAGTTACCTAGGGCGGCGGCGTGGCCTCTTACTCGTCAGATAAATAGGACTTCACTTCTCCGACTGTGAAGGACGTGCCCCCTCAGCCCACCCAGGGACTACGATCTCCGTGGGACCCTTAAGACTGAAAAGGAAAGGTGAGCTCCATGACCAGAAAGCTCGCACGATAAGCCACGATGCGGGTGTGTTTGAAGGTCTCAGAATAGGACATAGACTTGGATAAGTAGACACCAAGTGGCCTTTTTTTAAAAAGTCATTTAAAATCAGCCGATAGGCTCTCCCAGATCACACAGTTGGTAGAATGACTCATACTTGTTCCCGTACTTAATAACTAAATCACAGGTTAGTTTTTTTTTTAACCTTATCAGGCAGAGTTCACTCCTTCGTTTCTATTTTTATTTTATCCTTTTTTGTTTGAGACTGAGTAGTATCTTTACACAAAAGAGGAAAAGGTTAAGGGAGATACAGAAAATTCCCTCATTCTGATGTATATTAAAGTGATATTCAGATAATACGGGACATTTGGCCCAATTTAAGGGACCCAGATCTAATTTGCCCTGGTCCTTTTCTTTTTTTTTTTTTTTTTTTTGAGACAGAGCCTCAAGCTGTCCCCCTGGGTAGAGTGCCGTGGCATTACAGCTCACAGCAACCTCCAACTCCTGGGCTCAAGCGAGTCTCCTGCCTCCACCTCCCAAGTAGCTGGGACCACAGGCGCCCGCCACAACGCCCGGCTATTTTTTGGTTGCAGCCGTCATTGTTGTTTGGCGGGTCCGGGCTGGGGATTTGAACCCGCCACCTTAGGTGTATGTGGCTGGCGCCTTAGCCGGTTGAGCTATAGGCGCCGAGCCTGCCCTGGTCCTTTTCTTGTGGAAACATTTAGGGGTGTTTTTGCCTCCTCCCTGCCCCCTATAAATTGTTTAGCACTTTTTATTCCCTTTAACTTTTAAATGTCCTCATTCTGTGATAACCCAGCAATGATTGGGAAATCAAATGTTTTTTGGTTAAAAACATGATTATTTAAAACTTCGAGGTAAAAAATTAGCATGCAGCTTTAATTCAATTTGGTTAAACCCAGCAATTTTTGTATATGAGTAAATTTTTAGTTGTAAGATTTCTGATTGCTATGTTTCACCTTTTGGGGCTCTCCATTAGTGGACTATTTATCTACAGTGTGTTTTACTTCTCATGAATTATTTTTGGCACAAATAATTAAATAGTTCATTAGATAAGGCCAGAGGCTACACACCGGTAGGTGGGTGACATTCCCGGGATACCGTGCTGAAGGTTACCAAGCATGCCAATTGACCTGTAATCCCAAGGCAAGGACACCACTGTTTGCTCTGTTCTTCCAAGATGTCAGTTATTTTCTTGATGCCATTAACACATTAATTGCCATGAAAATTACAATTAACTTACAGTAACTTTGAGCCCAGGACCTTATGAAGCATATATAACTCACGTGTCTCTCTTGACCTAATAAAACATTGTGGCCCCAAGGGAGAAAAAAATTTCCTTCTGGTGTGGCAGTCAGTGTGTTAAAAAGCAAATGTGGTTTTGAATCCTCAAGAGTTTCTTGTGATTAAATGTCACATAGACAGGCAGAAAGGCTGGGTTTCTGGCGGCTCGTGTTGTGGCATCCCTGACTCAGAACTCATTACTGACATTCCACAATTGCCAGGGTGCACATGGTAAAATCTGAAGCCCAGAGTTCTCTTTTAAGCTGCATGTTTTACTGAAGAGAAGGAGTTGGCTAATCAAGGGGTAAAATATTTTGTTAAGGCCGTAGACGTGATCATGAATTCTTGCTGTTGTTGGGGGTCACTGAGAACCCTTTTTATTCTATATTAGTCTAGAATAGGCCCTTTATGCAGAAAACATGAGCAATTTCATATTTGAATCTTTTACAAAATCAAGAAATTTACATAGAACGTGATAGGCAGCTAAAGCTATTATGCCTACTATATTCAGTTAGAAGCGGTAGTTTAAAATTATGTGTCCATCAACATGTCTTGCAAACACAAATATGACGAAATGCTTTGACAGTGACTGTGCCTTTTTCTTTTCTGTGAAAATGCAAATGGATGTGCGTGTCTGTCTGTAAACACAGTTACACGTGTAGGTGTGAGTTTGTCTGTGGATGTATGTGTGTGTATTTCAGATGTCCGTGTATACATTAGTTGGGTTTATGACGGGCTTTGGAGATGACATTTTTATGTGGGTAAAAAAACCCAACTATTGTGAAGAAAAATGAATGTTTTATGTTGAAAGATATGCTTATACAAAATTTTTAGGTTTTAAACTATTTTAAAATATACAACAATTTTATATGTATATTTTCCATAGATAGATTCCTTAAGAAATATTTATGATGTTTCTAATATGAAATCACTAAACCCTCGTGCATTATAACAGGTGCTTTCTAATCTGAAATGGGTGGGGGGAGTTGACATTTGGCTATGTTTGTTCACTTGTTTCTGCTGTTCTTTTTCTGACATATCTGTTCTAATCTGTTTATTAGTAAAAGCCAGGACTGCCAGCTCGTTGCCCCCCCACTCTGTCCCTACATTTGAATTCATAACTTTTGAACAAAATGTTTTTACTTTCTTAGAATTACCAAGATGTTTTATATAAACTCCACTAGTGATCCATCAAAGTCTTCTCCAGAAATTAAAAAATACATATGCATATTCTTTTAATTATGACTGAGTAGAAGCAGCTTAAATGACTTTTTTACACTAGGAAATACATTTTCAACATTTTTTGTGAGGGCTTCTCACAGTGTCACCTTCATTTTGTAGTCTTTTAAAAAGAGAATGATTTGTGAATTACCACATAAAGGCAATACCAACCCTACATTGAAGAAGGTTGCGATGCAAACTCAAGTTTAAAATCAATTTATGAGCAAAACTTATGTTGGAACTTTTGATACATACCAAAATACAGATGATCACATTTTCCCTAGAGATGAATATCAAGGAAATGAAAACATCATTTGAGATGTATGTACAGAGATAGGAAAGAAAATCTAATGTTGAAATACAGAGCTTCACCATAACCAACATAGTCGATGGAAAATATCATTTTCAGAATTATCTTTTAAAAGATAACAGCCTGCATTCTTTTAATTTTTATGAATAAAAGATTGTTTTAACTTTTTTTTTTTAGAGACGGTGTTTCCCTTTGTTGTCCTGGGTAGATTGCTGTGGCGTCACAGCTCACAGCAACCTCCAGCTCTTGCCTCAGCCTCCGGAGTAGCTGGGACTACAGGCGCCCACCACAACCCCTGGCTATTTTTTGTTGCAGTTTGGCTGGGGCTGGGTTCAAACCTGCCGCCCTCCGTATATGGGGCCAGTGCCCTACTCACTGAACCATAGGCACCGCCCTGTTTTAACTTTTTAATTTAAATATTAGCCAAAATATTTCCTAAGTCCTACATGTTTGCAGGTAGATTTTTTTTTTAATAAAACACCTTGAATTAGAATCTATTTTTTACCAGATTATTTTTAAAATGTTATTGAAGGCCAAGCAGAGAGAATCAGGAGGAATAATTGCCGCCACCACCACCACCCCCCATACTGGGAGGGAAAGATGAGCCTTCTATTCCTTTAAGTAGTCAGGGCATATTCCAAGATTGCAAACTCCGTGATGAAACTGTGCCAAGATTCCCACTCTCCCTTCCCAGTGATATTTATGATTCCTTCTGATAAGTTTCAAGTAATCGCTAGTTAACACCAAAAATACAATTTCTGTGGGATTTTAAAGGATTGGGTTTAGAGTGTATGTCCCAGGTTATTCAAGTTTACATGGTTAGTGTAATTTGGGGGGTGAGGTGAGTAAGATTAAGTGTCCTTTCTGCTGATGCCAAAACAGCACCTTCTTCTGTACTTTTTCTACTTTATGAAGTTCTCTAACATGTCCTTAAATGTCAAGGGGGAAAGTACTGAAGTTCATTGTAGTAAATAATGCCAGCAAGGTCATTTTTTTTTTTTTTTTTTTAGTCGTGTAGATGTGAAAATAAGGTTGCTTGACTTTGTTTAGCTGAGATCTGTTTTTCTTCTATAAATCTATTTAAACACTTTAAAATAGGTTTCTGGATTTTGAGAAGTCTGACCTTTTATTGTTACTAGTTTGGTTGTTGGTTTGTAATATTCATTATCGTTTAGTCTTATTGAATTCAAATGCGTTTTGTTATGGTTTAGTCTAATTGGTAACGCTATTTGCTGGGAACACCATGCTTAGCTTCTGTTCACCATGGCTGGAGCCATTGCCACACTCTCTGGGTCTTAGGGAGTCTTCCTTCATAACCCCATGGAGATCAGAACCGGGACCCCAAGCTGGTTCCAGGGTCAGGCAGCCTGCAAAGTGTGAGCACCCACAGATAGGTTTTCCTGGGGGTGGGGGCGGGGGGTGTCTTAGAATGAGATGGAAATAAAAAGACTTCAAGTGACAGTGAGGTAGTTTGGGGTCTTTAATTTCAGTTCCAAAAATCCCATGAGTAGATCAAGAAGAGTAAGGACCAAGGAACCTCTATGACTCATGGACAGGCTAGCTGATTCCTGGAACTGGCATGTAGGGCCCGACCTATCACAATCCCCGCACATGAACTGACAGCCTTGCTGTGCAAAGTGTGTGGCTGAGACCCCGTTGGTTAAGAGCCTTGTATTGCCCATGGGGTGTGAGGTGAGTTTCTTTGGACCACACCTGGATGGGCTCTTTATCATTATCTTTGGTGTCTACTAGGGATGCCCAATTGTTTTACTGCTTTATTTTGTTATCTTTGTACCTAATAGAAATTGTTGATGGGGCCCAAAACCCTACAGAAAGTACATGTCTGTAAAAACCTACAAAGACATTGGATTTGTGGGAATGTAACGCTTTTTTGTTTAGTAAGTAATTTTTAAATTTACATGTTTTAAACGATAATCAGTGTTCCTTTTTACTTATAAAGTTGGGTTCTTTTTTAGAATTTGTAATAAATAAAAAGTGTTGCTGCTTTACCACTGTAAAATGTGCTTTCTGATGTGACCATGTATTTTTAAAATAAATCTTGATAAGACTTGTAATAACGTAGACTGCATATGTATCATGCATGCCAACAGCATACATTTCAGACTTAAACTCTTTTTTAATCTGGAAACTTTTAAAATTCAGAAATACAGTAAAATCTACATTGAAATGATTACATTGTTAAGAATAGTCACCGGCATCTGAGGATCGGCTGTATGACTAACAAGAACCGTTAGATAAGAGATGTCCTCACAAATCCTCCATCCTCATGGCACATTCCAAAAAATATCAGTTGCTCCTGCAGCGTGCCTCCCTGGGATCACACATCGACATCCTATCAGTTCAATCGCCATTGAATGGATCAGTCACTGTGATGCTTTCAATCAACAAGAAGCTCCTCAAATATCCTTCCATTGTATTCTAGCCTTTAATAATCAGTGACCAGTTATGTGGAACTACAAAATGTTTACATTGTGACAAATACCAACTTCAGCTCTTCTCACTCTCTAATAAGGAGGAAGAAGTCAGCTTTTTACAATGAAAACGTTACATG